ATGGTTGGGACTGGGCTGTTCTTATAGCGATCAGCCTGTGCACGTATGGGCTGGATGCGGTTGTGGTGTCGAAACAGCAATTCTCGGACTAGGGACCCAGTGGTAGTAGGGAGCCGGTGTCGAGGATGGTGTATGAAAGCTTACCAAATTTGGTGATGAGGTCGTGGTGATGGTCAGGAGAGCCTAAAAGGGTCAGTGTGTTGGAGCAGCTTGATATGTGTGAGTAGGAAGGAGAGAATAATTCATGCCCTCTTTGCACTTTTTCTAGGTGTTTACGTTGTGTGGCATTTAGGGAGTGAAGACCAGGGGAGTGGCATTGGTGAGTTTGGTAAGTATGAAGTGTGTGTGTGTGTGTGTGTGTGTGTGTGTGTGTGTGTGTGTGTGTGTGTGTGTGTGTGTGTGTGTGTGTGTGTGTGTGTGTGTGTGTGTGTGTGTGTGTGTGTGTGTGAGTGTGTGTGTGTGTGTGTGTGTGTCATACCAACTTTGAACCTCGATGGGAACTTTTCACTTATGCCTTTGTTTCCTGGAAGTATTATTATATTTCTTATAAACCGTTAATAAAAATTTTTATTAATATAATTTTATTGTTTTTTAAATTTTTGTATATAGATAAATATATACAATTTTCTCTTTATTATAAACAAATAATATATAATACAGATTACTACAGCGGAAGAACATTAAATGAATCAGAGGAAATTAATAGCTTCTTATATAGTATTAGATGAATGACAATTATGACAAATCTTAAATATATTACCTAATTATGTAATATTAATGAGAGGAAGGAATTACAATACTTAACATGGAGATAGAGACGTGTTTACTGTAGCTTCGTCCGATATATATAAGGAAACTGACCTTTAAGCAGAGTATTCCATGGTATCAAATTACCATATGTTACCCAGTTACAGTGTCCTCGGGGGCGACATACACACACACACTGTCTCTCTCAATACAATTAAAATAGTTATATAATTCAGAGTAAAGGAACTGCTATAGTGTTTTGGGGCAGCTAATCTTATTGTTAGAATGCCTCTCGGTGTAAAGGGTTGGCCCATAAACATAGCCAGAGATTAGAAATTGAAGGCAGGTCCTATATTCGGGAAAATAAATATAAAATAAAAATGTCCAATGATTTTTATTGGTGTTAATTACTGGAGACATTTAAAGGACAGACCGTAGCATCATCATCAATCATCATCATCATCATCATCATCATCAAGAGACATTTAAACACCACGACCTGTAGAGTTCATCACTAGTTTAAATGCCAGATAGAAAAGAAGACCCCAAAAGTGGCATCTAAATTAGGCAACAACAAGGTAAAGAGGAACACATATGGCTATTAATGCCTCTTGTCTCTCACTTGTAAACAGTCTGAGATACCTTAGAGCCATAGAGTCTACTTAATAATGTCTTGCCAATATGAAAATAGACCTAATTGGCCATTAGGATTAGCATAGTATATCTCCAAATATCTCTTGTGTTTTCTGTTATCTAACGAATGCCCTCAGCAGTACGATAATACTTCCCGACATTATCTTATCCTCATAAAAACCTCGCTGCCAGGCACACGACCAGCAAGATTTATCCTTTCAGAAACAAAATCTTACGGGCAATGTAAGATCAGAGGATACTCATACTACATATATTTATAACAAAGACGGTAAAAAGGACTGTAACTTATTAATTAGTCATTTTGAGTTAATTACATCATATTCATACACTCGTATCACAGGTTTTGGGGCTCCGTTAAATACTTTATAAAATGATACGCGAAGGAGAGAAGAAAAAAAAATTGACGATCATACATACATTCACGCCATATATTTATATATATATATGTATAATTAATTACAAAGTTTCGTAGTTCCTCCCTATAGCCATCTCTTATGACCCTCCTCCTAGACAGTTTGTGATTGGCGTAGAGGAGTCATAACAGAGACCTACTACAGTTAACACGAGGCTTTTTTCTTTACCTTTGTATTTACAGGAGACCTTGATAATATCACTAATGCTATTCCACCTGTGAAATTTAAACTCAATACCAAATTAATTTACTTAACAAAAATATCACCTGGGTTAAGGAGATATTATACAGGTAGATCCAAGTCAATGTGGATTTTAGAATTTTGTTTAAGGGTTATTTATATCACACGGTCTACTCTTAACACTCATGAGTTATATTAATGCCTTGAGACACTATTAACGTCTCCTGTACACATGTAAACCTTTAAAAAACATCGAGTCAATTTTAAACCTCTGAAATGACCCTTTAAAAGCATCTACTAGTCGCAAGGGAACCAAGAATGGGTTTACCAAGATAATTTATTGAATGAAAACCAAAATCATAACAAATTGTAAGATTCTACACTATTTTGTTGGTGTGATAGTTGAGTGTATATTAATCTTCCCTAATCACATATAATCCTGTTTCGATAATCCCAATCTTGGATGAGTGAGAAACCAATCACCTTGACTTTTGTTGTATTAAATTTCATCACGTAAATCCTAGAAATCTTATAACAGACCATAAGGATATTAACCCTTGGATTCTCTACTCAAGAATCCCTTCCTGATCTCATATGACCAAATGGCTGGATAAATAAATACAGGCTACCTGAACCCTGGATAAACCAGTAATAAACATCTACCTATACCGACCTTATCCAAGTTACCAGCTGGTCTTCTTGACTCTGGATAGCTAAATTTAGTATTCCTATAATGAGGTTGATGACGGATATATCCAGAGTGACCTTGGATAACACATCAGTTGCCTATCTAGAGACAAGATAAGAACGATGGATGATTTTGTATAGAGAAGGATATATGTACTACCTAGAAGGAGCTGTCAATGACTCTCCATCTTAGTATATCGATGGATTTATCTCATAAGATCCTGGATAACATGCCCTAGGATACCTGAACCTATATAACTAGCACCTGAATACCTGGATATTTAAGAATCTGAATACCTGGGCAGACTCACCAACTCCACAACCTGACGATGGGTAAAAGTATTAGGAAACTGGGATAACTTTAGGTAACCCATTACTTTAGCCACCTGGACCCTGGAGCTAATGAAGGATACGTCTAGGATAATCTTGGATAAAGGGAGGAACTGGCACAAACAAAATAAGAAGACACCTGAGACTGATGACAGGGGGAGGGGGAGATGGGGTTGGAGGAGGAGATGGGAGTGGGAGGGTTCTTGCCATGATTGGGTTGGGGAAGATGGAGGGAGGGTAAGTGGGTCGTTTGGAGGGGGTGTGGGAGTGGTCACCATGGAAGGGTGGGGAGATATGGAAGAGGTGGGAGGGAGGCCATGATATAGGGAAGGGGGGGAGGAGGAGGGAGTGGCGACCCCTCTTATATAAATACACATAAATTATACTAAAAAAAGAACGTGGCAATGTACAAGAAGACTCGTTCACACTGGTTGAGAACGTAGTCGTGGTAGGTTAGCAGCGGCGGCGTTCCTGGGATGAGTTGCTTCCGGAGAGTTTGAGGTGGCGTTCACAAATCGTCCTGGAACGTGAGAGGTTACGTGCCCGTAATATTCGGGAACGTAAGATATGAGTTCCCATTTTCAGAGGAGAATATTTAGTTAAGGATTTCATAATTATTCGAGAACGTGTAAGTTACGTATCCATTTCTTTCTTATTCGGGGGGGGAAAGATCGATTGCTTTCCAAGGTGCTCGAGAACGTGACACTAGACGTTCCCGGCGTTCAAGAGCAAGAGTTTGTAGAACGTCCTGTTGCTTAGTTGATCAACACTGATGACGTCACGCCAAGAGCTGTAGACAAAAAAGTATACTCAATCAATTTCTCTCGTTTCTACTCTTTTCTCTCCTCTATTTCTCTAATGACTATGACTATCACACATTCTCTCTCTCTCTCTCTCTCTCTCTCTCTCTCTCTCTCTCTCTCTCTCTCTCTAGAGAACTGAATTGTGACCATCATTAATTCTTTCGTCCTCTCTCTCTCTCTCTCTCTCTCTCTCTCTCTCTCTCTCTCTCTCTCTCTCTCTCTCTCTCTCTCTCTCTCTCTCTCTCTCTCTCTCTCTCTCTCTCTCTCTTCCATGGCAGGGAGAGAAGACTTTAATCCACTATCTCAATGTCCCTCTCTCTCCCTTTAGCTCCTTCTCTCTCTCTGTGTCTCTCAGTCTTTCTCTCTCTCTCTCTCTCTCAACAAAAGAGTCTGTTTTTGGCATGTATAGAGAGAAGATCATTATTATCACACTTCCTTACTCTCCTTTTCTATGATTATTCACGATTTCTCCTCCTCCTCCTGTTCTTCCTTCATAGTGTTGTTATGTAATACCACTATGCATGCATATTTGTATAAACATTTTCAAACACCTTTTTTTTCTTCTTCCATAGACCACAAACTACTACAAGACACTAATCTTTCATTATCTTCTATTTACTGAGTTTTTATCGTTTTGTTTCTCGTCTTAAATTTGTTTCCAAGATTGTAAAAAAAAAATATATATATTCTTTGGTTCTCCTCTGGCCATCAATATTTTTATTTCTTTTTATTTAATTCCTTTGTGATTTTTTATTTTGTTTATATATCGTTATAAACATTATCTTTCCTCCCCCTCAACCACTCCTCCTGGATGTTCGTAAGTAGAAAGTAATGTCCGTAATGAGAATGATGTTCGTAAGGAGAAAGTAATGTTCGTAATGAGAATGATGTTCGTAAGTAGAAAGTAATGTCCGTAATGAGAATGATGTTCGTAAATAGAAAGTAATGTTCGTAATGAGAATGATGTTCGTAAATAGAAAGTAATGTCCTGAACTGAAAAATTGTGTCTGTAACTGTTAAGAATATGTTAAGAGTTCTTGACAGTGATGACCGTAACTGGGAAGGTGTGTACATAACTTAAGTGTCTGTTAAAGGTCTGGGAAAATGGTGTCAGTGATGTCTGTGATTGGAAACTGACGTCAGTAAACAAGGTGCCCCTACACCGTGTCTCTGGGGGAGAGTGAGGGGTAGTGGGGAAGGGTCAGTGGAGAAGAGTAAAGGGTAGTGAGGGGGGTACGTGGAGGAGAGTGAGGGGTCGTAAGGGGGTGTATGATACCCGTGGATGATGAGAGACGTGTACCACTGTTCACGTCTCGTCGTCCATTATATCATCCATAGTCCAGTGTCCACCTGGATGATTGAGCAGACCCAAGTTTGTGTTCTCCATGTTGAAAAGGAAACAACACAATAATGGGAGGTCCGGGCTGCCGAGTGTTGTTTTCCCTAGCGATGGATGGTGTGAGTTGATAGGGTCGAATCGTCCTTTTCTTGGATATAAAATAGTTTGTATTTGTAAGATCCAAGCGCGATGATTCGTTTATTTGTTCTTGAATTAGAGGCTTTACCCTCGCCTCTTGAGCTGGTTGATGTGTTCTTCACGTATCGTAAGCGACTGTCTGGAGGTGGTGGGGGTCAGCGGTCACAGTGGTAGTTGTGGTGGTGCTCGCTGATGCCTCCGTAGAACGAAGATCCTATTACGGAAGGCGACTTGGCGGAGGAGGTTATGGGCGTGGTGATCGCCTCGCCAGGAGAGTAATAACATGAAGTGTAGTTCTTGCGTCAGCAATTGTAGTGGTGGTAGTTATGGTAGTGTTAGGGGTGGAAGGTCTCGTCGCCGCCTCCGTAAAGCGAGGAGATCCCACGGAAGGGGACTACTCAGAGGTGACACAGGAGCGTCAGCGATCCTGGTGGTGGTGGTGGTGGAGGGGGTCGCCGCCACCGCCGCCGTAGAGCGAGGATCATACAGGAGGAAGGAGTTTGTCCTCGTCCTCCTCACGGATGGGTATGGTGGAGTGGTTGTAGAGGCCTTGAGCCATCAGCTGCAGTGCCAGCGGGTTGGCTTGACCCTTCGCCTGCTGGGAGAGGGTCATAAACTTGATCAGAGGTAGGCATGAGGCCTACTGACTACTGACAATGGTAATGGTGTATGGGTCGAGAGATTCAACACGCCAGGCAAGCGGCTCTCATCACTCTAGTGCTGGCTCAGGTCCTCACTCTCAGAGACTCGTACACTAAACACTTTCCCCCATAAGACAAACATTCAGTTACGGTAAAGTCTCAGGACAAGACGCCTTATTGTGGCTGTCATCATCTTTCTGTCAACATAAGTCAGGGGAAAGATCTAACATACGAATCTCTCAGCGTCAGAACTCTATGGCAAAATGTTCATATGAATGGCAATTTGAGTAAGCAAACACTTATATGGATTTGTTCACCTTAAGAAGAAAAATTAACCCTTAAACCAACACCGAAGAAAAGAATCCATCAATTCCATATAAATATCAAAACTGCTTTTATTTATACATCAAAAATGCCTCTGGATATAAACAGAAAACCAAAAAAATTGACAGACAAAAAATCACAAACGAGATTTCACCTTTTTTATCTTGGCGCGTTTGTTCTGGAACCAAATCTTGATCTGGCTTTCGTTGAGTCCGAGATCCCTGGCCAGGTCCTGCCGCCGCTTCTCCGTCAGGTACCTGTAGGAGGGAGTTATAACCTCAGCAACACAACCACCTCTCCCCGCCTCCCTTACAACTAATATCTAGACTATCAGATCACGAAACTTTTTTGTATATATATTTTTTTATTATTTATTTATCAAGGTAGTTTTAACACAAGCTTTTACTGTACAAACTCAACAAACTGACTCTATATTATACACTTTACGACTCCTTAAAACCTTTGCTATACAGCGTCGACACACAAAGCTTCTACAATCTACATACGACTAATTATTCATACATCCTACGCGTATAAAGACTATTTTATGGTATAACTCCTTCATACTCCGAACATGTTATATACATTTCCCTCCCACGGCGTACAGTATATTGTCATCAACAGTCCTCACTTACATTTTGAAATATATAACCTAACCTAACCAAACCACCTGCCAGAAAGACAATCCCAAGGCTTCTATCCTGTCTATATCCTGCTTTAAAATCATCCTGAAATAAAGGAGTTGTGCCTGAGGGAGAGGTAAATATCCTTATTCTAACAGGAATGAATCCAACTAACTCGATAGTCTCATAAGGGAATTTAGGAACGTGCATACTGCCTCTCTCTCTCTCTCTCTCTCTCTCTCTCTCTCTCTCTCTCTCTCTCTCTCTCTCTCTCTCTCTCTCTCTGTTCCTTCCACCCTTCCCTCCTTCCTTATACCTTCCATTTTCCACCTCTTCTTTTCTTCAATCCTTATGTCGTTCCTTTCTTCCTTCCCTACCCCAGTCCCTTCCTCCCTCCTTCTTTCCCTCCCTCCTTCCTTCCTTCCTTACCTATTCTCCTGGAACTCCTTCTTGAGTCTGGCCAGCTGGTCAGAGGTGAAGGCCGTCCTGGGCCGCTTCTCGTCCTTCTTATCTCTCTTCTTGATGCGCCTCGTCCTGGGACCTGTGGGAGAACCAAAGAGAACCAGAGGTCAGGTCTGAGAGAACCATTGGGAGAACCAAGTCGGGTAATCTATCTAGGCTAACTGGAGAGAACTAGGTCAGGTTTGTATGGAGAATGAACAGGGAGATCTTATATATATATGAAATCATGGGAAAGAACGATACCAGGGAGAACTGAGTCACTTCTCTGGCTGGAAGAACCAAAGAGAACCAGATTAATTGTTTTCCTTTTCTAGATGTGGATAGTGACTTCCGTGAGGGAGATAATAACATGTGTAACACCTGTTCTACTCCCCCCACACACACACACACACACACACACACACACTGGTGAAGAGATAACCTCCATCAAAATAATTACTACACTAACAACTCCATAAAAACAACACGGTAATACAATAAGTTCGTAAGATAACAACATTTATTTTTTTTATAGAGAAAATTAATTCTTGAGTGTGTGTAAAAAAGATCACTTAAGATTAACTCTCCATAAGGCTAGCGGCGGTAAGACAGTGCTCCAACTAGGTTCTCTCCGACCCTGTGAGGAAGAGCAGCCGAAAAACAAAGATCTTAATATATTTAAAAAAGTAATTAAAAATAATATATGGTCATTAACTGATACTTATCATAGTCCAAGTTATCACTGTTACAACACTTGAGAGAGAAAGAGAGATATTGGCATAAACTTACATTCATTTATATACACAAACTAAGTATATACATTTTCTTCGTCTCATCTTGTTCACCAGTATGACGTAATCTTTATATATCATAAATATGGGTTATTACTACACTAATGACCATTATTAGTTGGGTCATACATCTCCATTGGCTTGATCAAGTGATTGTCCCCAGCACTAACTATAACCCAACGAGCCTCATACGTCTCCAAGCTGATTGGCTGAGGATCAAGGTGGCTGTTGTTATGTGAGGTGACTTGTACAGCAAGACAGTGTTTATCTAGGGTCTGGCTACACTGTCTTCCCTACTGTGTGTGTGTGTGTGTGTGTGTGTGTGTGTGTGTGTGTGTGTGTGTGTGTGTGTGTGTGTGTGTGTGTGTGTGTGTGTGTGTGTGTGTGTGTGTGTGTGTGTGTTTTATCATCGCCATCCTCAGTCATCGCCACCAGTCATCACCACCACCACTGGTCGTCACTACCACCAGTCATCATCTCCACCAATCATCATTTCCAGTCATCATCTCTACCAGTCATCACTACCACCAGTCATCATTACCAATCATTATCTCTACCAGTCATCACCACTACCATTCATAACAACCACCACCAGTCATCATCACCATCAGTCATCATCATCAGTCATCATCATCACTATGTATTGGACTCTGAACCCATTCGCTATACTGCATGTGTGTATGTGTGTATTAGATATACACAAAATCTGTCTCCCTGTCTATCTATCAAACGATCTAACTGTCAGTCTGTTTATCTAACACTCCAACTGTTTTACTGTCAATCAAAACTCTCGATCTATCACTGTCTATCTGTCTAATCCTTCACCACACTCATCTATCTTCTCCCACTCCACCTAGAGACAGATGCTGCCTCTTCTACCAACATCATGAGCGATAGATACCCTCCCCCACCCCCCCTGTTATCATTTACATCTGTGGTAGTGTGATCAAGATAACACCGGCCCGGCTGTCACCACCCACGGGGCCTCAGGTTATCCCTCCTCTGCATCTCAACCCGACAGTATTTATTATTTCCGGTTTATGGTAATGAGGTTATTCATTATCTAACGCTGTGGAGGGTCGATGTATCTCTCACACCATCATGCGGTGTGGTGTGGTGTGGTGGGCAGGTGTGGTAGTGGAAGGTGTGATAGTAGTGGTGGGTGTGGTGTGGTATGAGTGATGTGGTGGACAGGTGTGGTGTGGTGTGGTGTGGTGTGGTGTGTGGTGATGTGGTGGACAGGTGTGGTGGTGTGGTGTGGTGTGGTGTGTGTGGTGGTGTGGTGGACGGGTGTGTGGTGTGGTGTGTGGTTGGTGGTGTGGTGGACGGGTGTGGTGGTGTGGTTGTGGTGTGTGGTGGTTGTGGGTGTGGTGGTGTGGTGTGGTGTGGTGTGGTGTGGTGGTGTGGTGGACAGGTGTGGTGGTGTGGTTGTGGGCGGGTGTGGTGGTGTGTGGTGCGGTGTGGTGGTGGTGTGGTGTGGTGTGGTGTGGTGTGTGGTGATGTGGTGGACAGGTGTGGTAGTGTGGTGTGGTGTGGTGTGGTAGTGATGTGGTGGACAGGTGTGGTGGTGTGGTGTGGTGTGGTAGTGATGCGGTGGGCAGGTGTGGTAGTGTGGTGTGGTGTGGTAGTGACGTGGTGGACAGGTGTGGTAGTGTGGTGTGGTGTGGTGTGGTGTGGTAGTGATGTGGTGGACAGGTGTGGTAGTGTGGTGATAATTTATTTCTTTTTAGTTTTGCCACTTACAGCGGCTAGTTTACTGTGCACCCCATACTAATCCTGTGAGAGGTAGCGCAAAAGGATTACAGCGTAGAGTTCACTAACCGCAGTGGTCAGGATATTGTGGCATTGAATGTTACAGAGTATTTCAAATAAATTCTTTGTTTAGTTCTATACATAGCGGGTAATTTATTTGCAACTGCGTGAGGACAGGAGTGTGAGGCAGTATGTCTGGCCTCACACTTTGTTATTCACATTTACGTGAGAAGTATTCAAGCACATTGTGTGTTTAGTTCCATACAGGGGAACTGGTATAGCTACTGAGTGCAAAAAAGTGGCTACAATCTTATTATGTCGGCTATCTTGCCATTAGAGATGAAATGTTGTGCCATTTCACACACAGTGTGCTTGGACCTGTCCCTAAAAGGTTCTATCTTCACACAGTCGAGGACGTAGTGTTCAAGTGTGTGGCCATATGTCTGGCCACACACTTTACATTTAGTTTTGTTCACATCTGCTTGAGGGACATACTGCCAGAGGTACTTACATCCTAACCTTAGTCTAGCTGTTACAACTTTTTGTAATCTAGTGATCTTGCTACTTGCTCCGTATACCTGTTTCACTTGATACATCTCATTATGGTAAACGGTGGATTGACTAGTGCCTGTTTGCACTTGTCTGCTTGCGTCAAATTCATTAATAAGTTCCTAAGGGTTCTTTTTGACAGACCGTGAGTTTGGCGATGATATCAACTCTGTCATGTTCTTTAAGGCCAATGTGTGAGGGGATCCACAACAGTTTGACCTTGACACCCCGGTCAACAAGGTACGCGTATTTGTGTCTGGCTTCAGAGACAAGAGCGTGGCAACTTAAGTTGAGGATAGAGAGTCAGTGATGATGAGATTGTCAGTGACAGTAGTTTCGATAAATTTAATGACTGAGTATGGCAACTCATTCAGATTGTAGAGGGGATTACAAGTTGTTAATTCTAACTCCTTTCTCAATTGTATTAAGTCACAACTATAGCATTTCCAGCCCTCCCACAGGCGGTGTTAAGAGATCCATCAGTGTAGATGGTCTGTGTGATATTATCATCAGTCTGTAGAGTGTGTATGTGTTCAAGAGCTCTCACTTTGGCAGTGTGTTGGAGATAAATACTTTGTATAATTAATCTTTTAGGCGGATACGTCGGTATTGTGATATAGAAGAGAACTGTCCGCCAGGGTGGCAGGAAGCGCTGTTGTGTCTCAACTTTGTACAGGTGGTCTAGTCCAAACATCTTCATTTGTGGACAGGTGTGGTAGTGTGGTGTGGTGGACAAGTGTGGTAGGGTGGTGTGGTGGACAGGTGTGGTAGTGTGGTGTGGTGGACAGGTGTGGTAGTGTGGTGTGATGGACAGGTGTGGTTGTGTGGTAGTGTGGTGTGGTGGACAGGTGTGGTAGTGTGGTGTGGTGTGACAGGTGGGTTTGTGTGGTGTGTGGTACAGGTGGGTGGTGTGGTGTGGTGGACAAGTGTGGTAGGGTGGTGTGGTGGACAGGTGTGGTAGTGTGGTGTGGTGGACAGGTGTGGTAGTGTGGTGGTGGACACAGGTGGATGGACAGGTGTGGTTGTGTGTGGACAGGTGTGGTGTGGGTAGGACAGGTGTGGTGTGTGGTGTGATGGACAGGTGTGGTTGTGTGGTGTGTGGTGTGGTGGACAGGTGTGTGTTGTGTGGTAGTGTGGTGTGGTGGACAGGTGTGGTAGTGTGGTGTGATGGACAGGTGTGGTTGTGTGGTAGTGTGGTGTGGTGGACAGGTGAGGTTGTGTGGTAATGTGGTGTGGTGGACAGGTGTGGTAGTGTGGTGTGGTGGACAGGTGTGGTAGTGTGGTGTGGTGGACAGGTGTGGAAGTGTGGTGGGGTGTGATGACGGTGATGGCACTGGTGGAAGTGAGGAGAAGAAGGAGGGAGAATGGTGGCAGCAGGTGTTGTTGTGATGGATGGTAACAGCGATGATGGCGGTAGTAATGAAAGAAGGTGGATGTATTCTACTGTACACATATATACGTATACATATCTTACTATTGATACATATATAGTTAGTTATTTAGTTAATATATTGACAAAAGAATCATTCATTAGAAATAACAAAATACGTGATATGACCAAATACATTATTTGAGTCAATGTTAATTTTATCCTAATAATTATACAACTACAATACTGATGAAGGCTATATCGCATATTATTTACATATATATACATCAAGAATACAGTAAATCCTTCGCTATACTAATATTCACCTCGTATTTTACTTCTTCGCTATATTCTACATACATACATACATACATACATACATACATACATACATACATACATACATGCATACATACATGCATACATACATACATGCATACTACAATCAGCTGTCATAACTCTCCCAATTCCGGCGGCAGAACGGAACTTAATTCATTATTAGAATACAGGAAACGCGAATCGCTCCTAAATGTCACCTGAGAATAGTGACTCTGAATGGTGTACCGGGGTGCTGCTCGTGGGTGGGATGACATGAATGAGTCTACCTACGTGGTTTATGAGGGAGATGTGGCCATAACGTTGGTAAAGAGACTCAATCGTTGGCAG